AATTTTTTGAAAATAATTGAAATTTTGCCAAGAATTTGATTAAAAATTTAGAAAATAATTGAATTTCAAAGAATTTTATTATTTATAAAAATAATTGAAATTTTGATGGGAATTTTAAAAATTTTTTGAGTTTTTGCGAAGAATTGTTACTTTTGAAAATAATTGAATACCTACAATTTAATAGACTTCAATAAAAATTATTCGATTTAAATAAACGAATGTTTTCTTGATTTAAATAAATTTAATAACAGACAAATAATAATTTATTTAAATCAAATAAATATTTCTTTTCATTACATCAACGATCAACATGAAATATTTCGATACCGATCCTTATCGTCAAGGTCAGGAATTACCATAAATAAAAATAAAAAAAGAAGAAATAAACTTTTCCACGTGAAGAGTGCAATTGTAATGCAAATGAAAAAAACTGCGACATTGCGCTTTCGCAGAGTGTTGAACGGGGAAAAGATGAGGCGAAAAGAAGAAAGAGAGAAAGTTTCTCGAGCATTTGCTAAAGAGGTAGTGGTGGTGGTGGTAGTAGTGAGAGCCTGAAGGGATGAGAAATTAACGTAGTTAACTCTACGAGTTCAGTGAGGTATTAAAAGTACCTTGTCGATGGGCTTTTCCCACCCACGCGATTTTCTTGCCTCCGTTAATAAACGTGCGCGTAATTTCCTCTCTCCCGGAACGGCGGAAGACAGAAGATTCGTCTTATAATTTTCCGCAGTTGGGAGAGAAAAAAATCTCCTGGAAAAAGTCTATGGCGACAGAAATAAAAACGTTCATGTCCTAGGCACTCAAGAAAAATCAGATCGTATAATATGGATTTCCGTCGAATCACTGATAAAGTGTAAGGACGCGAGATGAGAGTCGAAAAAAGAAAGAAATTCATTGAAAAATTACCTATCTCATTGTCACAAAAAAAAAAAAAATTTACGATAATTATTTTCTACTGAGATGCATAATTAATTATTTTCTATTTCTTTTGCCGAAAAAAATTACTTCTATAAAATATTCATTATTCTCTAATAGATAATTGACTAACAAAAATTATTAATGTATTTTTTAAAACGATTTTTTTTTGTTTATCATCATCATTGAAATTATAAAAAATGTAAAGAAATGGCCAAATGTTAATGGAGTTTTATTAGAATTGAGTGTAGAATGTGACAAAATATTGTTATGAAAATTATTTTATTTGTATAAGATATCAAGAAAATTATCAATCCTCCAAGTCAAACATTAAAATAATAAAAACACAATTTTAACGTTTCGACAAATATTTTATTTGTAGTTTTTTTATTTGCAATGAGACACAAAAATAATTTTTAATCGTAATAATTATTTTCTAAAGCAAAAAAATACTTAAGTGAATTGAATAATCAATTTGATTATTATTTATTTAAAAATTTATTTTTTCTATTATTTTTTAATTTAAAAAAAAATTTAATAAAATTTTACGCAATCATTTAATTATTTACATAAATAATAAAAATTTTACAGGAATTCAATTATTTACAAATTTTTTATAAATTTCTTCGCAATAATTCCATTATTTTCATAAATAATAAAATTTTTTTTAAGGAATTGAATTATTTTCATAATAAATAATTAAAAATTCTAGAAAATAATGCGATTGAATTAAAATGATGAAAATAATTTTGAAGAAGTTACCTACAGTAACAATTTTTTTAAAATATAAAATAATGATTTTATCACTCGGTCATCTTTAATTATTATAAAACATGAAGAGATCGATTGCTCCGAGTCGAAGACTCGGAGTGATCGATTTCTTCATGTTTTATAACAATTTTTTATAAGTTGTTGAATTTTAATGAGGATTGAATTTGAATGTTGTGAAGAATTTTAATTCTTATGGAAAAATAATAATGATTAAATATTTATTTAAAAAAGAAGTTATTGATTTTTTCGAATAATTTAAAAGAAATTCGTAAATAAATGTAACAGAACATTTTTTTGAGTAAAATTTTTTCCTTTATTTTCTAAAAATTTAAAAAGTTTCAATTTCAATTTCATATAAAATTTGTAATTGACAAATAGAATTTATAAACAATTTTTTCCTTTATTTTGAAAAAACTTTAAATTTTATTCAAACAATTGTAATTAAGAAATAGAAATGATGCAAATCATTTCCTTATGAAAATTGAGAACTTTCTAGAAAAAATATTTATTTAATATTTTTGTAAATAAAAAAGAGAAAAATTTTCATAATTTAAATCAGTCAAAAGAAATTTGTTATAGAAAAAAGCATGTAATAAACAAAGTGTGGACAGACGGAATTAATGAAAGAATGAAATGCGAAGATTATTATTTAGTGTTCTAATAATAGATAATTTACAAAAAAAAATATTTCTGCTACTTAAAATTCAAGTCAAAAAGTAATTGAGAAATGTAAAAAAAGTCTATTAGTCGCATTTTACTGAAAAAATCTGGAAAATGTCGATTAGTCGCATTTTTTAACAAAAAAGTCAAAAAAGGTCAAAAAAAAGTCGCACAATCCGAGCCCTGAATATAGAAAAATTTGAAAAGAATTCAAAAATAAATATCTCTATTAAAATAGATTCAAATAAATTTAATATTCATAAAAATTATTTTTGTATTTAAAATTTCATTATTCAAACAAAAAAATGTATTTTTAAAAATTATTTTCTCAAAAATTACAAATTTTCAAGAAAATGAATTTATTTTATTCCAAAAATCTCAATTAATTTAAAAATTTAAATCTTCTAATAAAAAATTTTTCTTGCCAAAATCATTGTAATTAAGACATTTCATAATGTCAAATCATACACACAAATCGCTAACGTTCTCATACATGATAATCACATCATGCGCATTAATTCCTCGTCATTACATTGCTTCATATATTGAACCATTTTCATGAATATGCAGATATGTTCATTACCATGTAATGAAATACTGCTTCAGAAAATTAAATTCAAAACTAAAAAGGCGAGAAGAAGATACAAAAAAGTAATATTATAATTTTATTAAAAAATTCAAAATAATATTTTATCAAAAAATTTTCCAAGTCTTTTTAATCAAGCTAATTTTCTTCATTATTTTCAATTAGAGTTTCAAAAACAAAAAAAATAATAATTAAAAAAAATTATATTCTCATATTTACTTTGACAAATTATTTCATTAGGCATTCATTATTCTCGTTCATTATTATTTCCTATATATGTGTACATATAAAAGCGAAATGAAACAAAATTATAAGTCTATTATTTAATACGAGGACAATAAATGTTTTGTTTTATTTAGAATTGCAAAAAGGTGTCAGTCATTAATATTCATTCATTTTATAATTTTATTTGTCATTTCATTCAATATTGGCAATTTGCTTTTAAATTTTCTAAATAAGCGCTTTCGTTATACTTATTGTCATATTTGTATGAATTTTAAATAAATATTTAATATAAAAGTGAATAATTGATGCAAAACAATATTTAATAAAAATAAACATTTACTAGAGATATTCCTACCAATGTAACAAGTTATAATTATTATTAATAATTATTAATTATTAATTTTTAATAATTATTAATTAATAATTTATTATAATTATTAACAAATTTCAATTTTTTCCCCAAAATGTTAAAAACAATTTCCGTAAACAAAATTCTCATAAATTTTTCCAAATGTTTTGAATGTTCATTATGAAAAGTAAATTCTCGACTTTGTTTTCGAATTTACGTTTTGCGATACTCGAGAGAAAGTGTTAAATAAACAATGAAATATATAATCGCATCTCTTTCTTTCCTTTTTGATATGAAGTGGGAGGGTATTGGAGGTGCCAGATTCGAGTGATTCCTATAAGGCTCAGAGCTACACTACCCCATTAGCGTTCCCCTAGTGCTAAGTCCCCTTAATCCCCCCATGAGCACATAATAATAGCCCATAGAACAGGTAGCACCATATGTCTGCCTCATTTGTCAATACGTCGTGCCGGCTTGTCACTGTACCACCAAATGTGTACGTACACGTGTCATGTACTTAAGACTCAACAACCGGAAAATTTGTGTATCTCGAGATGGCACGTTGTCCACTTTTTTTCTCTTTTTTCAAATTTTATCACATCTATCTCTATTTTTATGATTTCTCCAATTCATGTTAATTTTGGTGCAAATAGAGAGACAAACAAAATTTAAAGGGAGGGTGGGATTAAAAATATAGTTTATGGAGTAAATAAATAATATTAATTATATAAACAAAATCCTTGTCGGAGTTAAAAATTTTACTCTTCTAATTTGGCTGTAAAGAGTCATTCACTCGATAACTCCAAAAAAAAACTGTAAAAAATAAAAATAATTTAAATGAAGAAAATGAGTAAATTAAAAAAACCTTGGAGTTAAGATTTTACTCTTCTATTTACACTACAAAAAATTTAAAGAGCAAATGGCATCATAAGTTGGGAGTAAAGTTTTTCGAGTCGAAAATTGACTCCAAAAGTGAGTTAAATAATCCGAAGTAAAAAAAGAAGAAGAGTTTATCATTAACTTCTTTTGGAGTTATATTGCAGTGATTTAGCAAAGGAGTTAATATAGATGAGTAAAATTTCAACTCCCTAAATTTTACTCCTTTTGCATTAACTCCAAAAAGGTGCGAACTGCGAAGTTTGTAAAATCCAATTGGGAGTTAAAATTTTACTACTTTCTGGAGTGTAAGGCACAGTTTTTCCAAGGATATCAAATTGAGACAGAAAATGAAGCAAAAATGTTGCCTCGCAACACTTTTGATTCGTTTTTTGTCTCAATTTGATATCCTTACAGAAAAACTATGAGTTTGTTTAATTTTGAAAAAAATCCTTTTAAATTCTTGCCCGAAGAGAAAATTCCTTCATCAACAACTTTCCAATACTTTCGTTCCAAAAAACGAAAAAAAACCTCGTCTGCAATAAAGACACCTCCCACTATTTTTCGTTGAGTCTAAAAATAATTTTAAAAAAACCCAAAAAGAAGATTAAAACTCACCAACAGTACTGGCAGAACCAACGCTATTTCTCCCAGGCGTTGCGGCGGGCGTCGGTGGACTCGCTTCAATACCCTGATGCACCCCATAAAGACCAAAATCCTGTTCATTTGAACTTGTACTGCTACACTTTCTCTTCTCCTGATTATGATTCAAATGAAATGTATCATTTTCCACAAGTCCAACGCCCAATAAACCAAGATTCGGTCTCAATTCGTCCATAAGTTTATTCTGTCCACAATTAGCGGCGGCCGCCGCTGAAAAATTCAATTGCCTACTGAATATCGCTGGGAATATATTGAATTGCTGATGATCTAAACTCAATGCAGTTGTTGATAATGATGATCCACTACCGACGGATGTGCCACCGACGGAACCAACTCCGCCACCCGGCCCGGTACTTCCCGATAAATCGTTAGCCAGGATGATGCCGGGGTGACCTTGCCGAGGTCTACCAAATGGATTAGCAATATTTACACACTTCTAATTATTCCTCCTTTTAATCATACATCGTCGAAACAAAAAAAACCAATATCCACACTACTTTCTTCAATCCTTTTTCAATTCTCTTCAATCCTCTTTCAATTCCTTTCAATACTCTTCTTTAAAAAATTTATTTATGTCGGTAAAAAAAGTTTTTAATCTTCTTTAACCGTAATTTTAGTAGTAAGTCCTACAAATAATAATACACAAATAGCTCTATTTGTGAAGTGAATTATTCACCTTTTTATTTTCTAAACACTTCAATAATCTCCTGACGAAAAATAATAATTTTATCAGAATTTCAGAATTTCTCAAATCGAGAATTATTTTTACGTTTCCGACTCAACAAATCGCTTCCATTCTTCACAAGAATGCGTTGGGTCAGTTTCTCCGAAACTGGTGACTTTTTATCCTCATTTTCACTTGAAAATGTATTTTATTTGTTTAATTGTATTCACTGTATTCAATGAAAATATTAAGATTTTTTGAATATTATTATTTATAATGCTAAATTATTATGACAACAAGTTGTCTCGAGATTAGGTGATGAAGTTCTCAGATCAGTTGGACCAATTTGTAAACGATTAAGAATTAGACGGTGAAGATTGATGATTAGGATATTAATCCGTCAGGAGAGTTTGTAATTTGTAATTAACTTTACAATCAAATTGTAATTTGTAATTAGCTTTACAATCAAACTGTAATTTATAATTAACTTTACGATCAAATTGTAATTCGGAATTAACTTTACAATCAAATTGTAATTCGGAATTAACTTTACAATCAAATTGTAATTTGATGATTGTTGAAGAAGAAATAATTACTTCACTGTCAACTACAATTACTGTGTTGAAATTATTGAGGTTCTTGTTGTTTTTCTTCTGATGAAACAGAATTTATCTATTATTATTATTTATTGAAGATAAAATATTCCTTCGCTTTAGAAGTGAAGAGGTAGATTACAAAAGTCACCTTTTTTTTGCAATAAAAACAGTGTTTTTTAGTAAAAAAATTATGTTTCTTCTTTAAAATTTTCACTTCACGATTCGTTTCTAACCATTAAATTATTTTTTCAACAGTACAGTAATTCTTTTCTTATTTCTTTTCTTTTTCTCCTTTTCTTCTAATTTTTCTCCTCCTTTTTCTTTCTTGTTCCTTTCTTCACCGTTTTCTCCTTTTTCTTCTTTTTTTTTTCCTCCTCGTTCTTCAGTATTTTCTATAAAGTTTTTTATTTTTATATACTTGAAGTTTTTTATTTTTGTTTCTTTTTTTTTCTTTAATCCTTTCTTTTATTATCTCTTCTACTCAGATATCTTTTATCTTTTCTCACAAAATCATCTCTTCTTGGCTATTTTTTTCACCTGAACACTAATTTCTCTTGGTTTGCTTTTCTCGCTTGGTGCTTTCTTTTTCTTTTTACCACTTCTTCTTCTTTTCTTTGTTGTTACTTGTTTTTTTTTTGTTTCTTGGTTTGCTACTTAGTTTTCTTTCTTTCCTTCCTTTCTTAGTTGTTACTTCTTCTTTTATTTTTTATTTATTCTTTTTTTCATTACTTCTTTTCTTTTTTGTTATTTCTTTTTATTTGTTACCTCTTTTTCTTTCACTACTACTTCTATTCTTTCTTATGTTTTTTTTTTATTCTCTTCTATTCTTTCTTATGATTCTTTTTATTTTCTTCTATTTTTTCTTATGATTTTTTATTCTTTTCTATTCTTTCCTGTTTCTATTTTTTCTATTACTTCCTTTGTTTTCTGTTACTATTTTATCTGTAACTTCCTTTCTGTTCTAACACTTTCTTTCTTGTTATTTTTTAAGAAAGGATTATTCCTTTCTTGGTACTTCTTTCTTTCTCGCTACTTCTTCCTTTCTTTTTCGTCACTTCTTCTTCTCTTTTTTGTTATTATATCCTTTTTTGTCACTTCTTTTCTTTTTTGTCGTTATTTCCTTTCTTTCCTTGCTTCTTCCTTTTTATCTTGTTATTATTCCTCTTTTTCGCTACTTCTTTTTTAACTTCTTCCTTCCTTTTTCTTCACTTGTTTCTTGTTATAACTTTCTACGTTTCGTTACTTCTCCTTTTCTGTCTTGTTATTAACTCCTTTTTTCGTTACTTCTTCCGTTTCTTCGCTTCTTCTTCCTTTTATCCGTTTCCTCTTCCTGCTGTAGTTTCTACTTTCTTTCTTTCGTTTTTTTCGTTCGCTCTTCCTTTATTTCGTTTCTTCTTCTTTTTTGTTACTTCATCCTTTTCCCCCTTTATTTTCTCTTTTTTTCCTTCCTTCCTTTCTTCTTATGTCCTGTATTCCACTTGATCAATCGGATGAATTAATTAATCCCGAAGAACAACCAAACAATTTCCTCTTCTTTTCTATGTCCCAAAAAAAATTGCTTCACACAAACAAGAGAGTTCACTTTGAGTGCAGTTCACAATAAAATCCTTAACATCGAAATCAATCACGAATTTCACAGAGTGACCTTCACTTCGCTCCCTCTCAAAGGAACCAATGACCCGAAAACAACGCGGTTCTCCGAATGAAGAACAAAAAGCAAAAGCAGAAGAAAGAAGATATTCACCCGCAACCGGTAAATAATAATTCCAATAATCAAAATAAGATCGAAGCGCCACGAGACACGTTAGATGCGTCGCGGTTGGCCTGGTCCGATTCGAAAATTCAAATGAGATTATCCTCGTCAATCCAATTAGGGTTTCCTCTCCCGCCTCGTACTTACGGTGGGTGGCGTAGGAGAGAGCGTAAGAGAGAGAGAGAGAGAGAGAGAGAGTATTTCGTAATCCGTAATGGTTGTTTTCGGGGGGAAGGAAAACGCGCGCGAACGGCCTTGAAAATTCAAATATCGAAATAATTGGACCCAAATGACGTTATGCCGAGAACATCCAAAAGAGGAATGGAGAATATATAACAAACGAGACGATATAGCGAGAGACTCTACAGTTTATGTATATATATATATGTATATATTGACAAACGTTGACGAAAACGTCGAGGATCAGGAGAGAGAGACACACACCGAATAGGGGTACCGCTCGCCGTGAGTTCTTGCGGGATTCTGTCCGCGAAATGCAGTTATCCTGCTGACTTGGGGGTAGAAGCGCGGAGGGATTCTCTATGGGGGCGAAACGACAACCGCCCCCCCTTTCGCCCCTTCTTCACCCCCTTCGGCACAACTGCGAGTCACCATCCCCCAAAAACACCGAGTGGAACATCGTGTTGGGATTGGAGCGCGCGGGGAAGCGTTACCCTGACAACAACCAATCACAATTGAGCTCACTACTTCGCTACCCTTAACAGACAAAATGGCGTCCATCCAATGAAAATTCCTCCGGAAAATAGCCTGCAAGCGATTTTCTTTACTCTCTCTCTCTCTTTCTCTTTGCGTCCTCGTCCCTTTGCCATCACCCTTGTCATCATTCCACCCACCAACCGGTGACGTTTTTTTTTCCTATCCTCTTTCTCCTTTTTTCTTCTTTTCTCCTTTTTTTCATCATCTCGCGGCAGATAGCTTTTTTAATTCTTTTTCCTTTTTCGGGATTTGATTGTAACGTATACCACCGTTGTACACGATATCCTCTCCTATATATATATATATATATATATATATATATATATATATATATATATATATGTATTGAGAGGCTGGGAGAATAAAGAGAGGTGTATGAGTGAAGATGTTGATGTTAATGTAAGTCCTAGAGTATATTATTTGTGTGTGTGTGTGTGTAGTGTATATCATCTGGGATGCACACATGCATCCAGTTACAGAATTCAAGATAATGCGAAAGTGGTTTTCTCTCTTCGCGGATTCACCTTCTGCTTTATAGATATCTAGTTGCTTTCTTGTATATAGATGTATGTATGTATATCGTTGGCAAAAGTTTCTTCCTTGTCATGGAATACGTAAAAGATTATTTCCTCGCGCTGGATTTAGATATATCAATGTCTTTTGTTGGGATACTGTGGAGAAAAGTTTGCAATTTTTTCTCTTAATTTTTATAGAGAAAGAGTTTAAAAATGAACGTTTGGGGGAGTTTATTTTCTCTTTAATTTTCTGTTGGAAAAATGTTCTCTTTGGCGTTACAGAATAAATACCTGATTTATTTATGCGGTTCCTTGAGAAAGCGCAAAAGACGGATTATAATTTAAAGCAAACAAATTCTACTCTCTTGTAAGATTAATTTTAAACCAGAAATTTGATTAATTCATCTAATTTCATTTTACAATCATTCTTGTATTATTTAGAACCTTCGATTGCAATATTTACTATCTAGATGACAAGATTACAGAACAAAAAAATCTAAGAAAAAAAGTCTAAAGTACTATAAATCCGAAATAAAAATATCCAAAATAAATATAATGAAACTTGTGAAAAAGCAACATTTTTACTTTTTACGCTATAAAATCGGAATTTAAAATGTTATTCTTAAAATCGCAGGATTTTAATTATTTAGGTACATAAATAATAAAATTCTTCAGAAAAATTTAATTATTTTCATAAATAAAAAAATTTCTAGAAAAATTTCAATTATTGTATAAAATTTTTAATACCAATATTATATACATAACAATATTAACCATATGAATTGTATCACTTACAATATAAACCCTAATTTTCGTAATGATACTGTAAAAATTAAGGGAGTAAATGGCATCAATAGTAAAGTTTTTCGAGTTAAAAATCTACTCCAAAGTAGGAGTTAAACAGAAATAAAGCAAAAATAGTTTAGCATTGACTCTAGAAATTATTTCAAAGTTGCATATATTTAATTAAGGAGTTAATGTAGACTAATGGAATTTAAATTCTAAATTTTACTTCTTTTCCTTCAAAAGGAACTAAAATTTTATTATTTTTTTAAAGTGTAGTTCGAAATATTAAAAAAAATAAATTCTAACACAAAAATAAACTAAAATAATATCTACAACGCTTATTAATCCATTAGAAACTAAAATAAACCATAAAAGGATAATTGTTTTAAAATCATTACGAATGATTTGGTATATTAATTTAAAGATACTTATTTGGTTTGAAAAAAATTAATCCAAAAAAATATAATATTTGAATCAATTAATAAAAAAAACTCAATCAAACTAATCTTTTCCCATAGAAATTTAAATTTTCAAAAATTTCAAATTCAAATCTTTTAAAATTAAAAAACTATGAAGAAAATTCTTATGAAACATGAAAAAATCAATTACTTTGAGTCGAAGACTCAGAATCATCGATTTTTTCATATTTTATATTTATTAAAGATGATCGAGTGCTAAAATCATTATTTTATTTTATAAAAATATTTTTACTGTAATTTCTTCAAATTTATTTTCATTATTTCAATTCAATTATTATCTTCTAGAATGTTTAACTAAAATTCTTCTTTAAATCAATTTTTGTTAGAAAATTCTACTAGAATTAAATTATTTAAATACAAAAATAAATCATTTATTGAATAGTTGAATGTTTCTTAAAATTGAATTCTCATAAAGAATTTTATTAACGAATTTTTAAATAAATTCTTTTGACAGAATTTTTATAAAATTTTAAAATAATAATTAGGTACATTTTTCTGACAAATTCAATTAAAATTGTATTAAAAATAATTGAAATTCTACAATGAGTGTTATTATTTATGGAAATAATTGAATTCCCAACAATAATTTTATTATTCATATGAATAAAATTTAATCACTGTAAAAATTTTATTATTTATGAAAATAATTAAATTAAAACTAAAAATTTTAATGAAATGACTAATTAATAAATTAATAATTTAATAAAAAATGCGTTACATTGAAAATTTCTACACTAAAAAAAATTGAATCTAAAAAAAGAATAAACGAAAAAAATAGTTTTCTTTAAAAGTACAATTCACAAGCTAAAATGCAATCTGAGGCCTTTTTTTTAAACGGACCGAAAACAGAACGCCCATGACGCGTGTCAACAATTTCAGAACTATAATTTCGTCAACAATAGACAACAGAGTTAAAAAGCGAGCCAATTCAAAACCAAAACTGCTTTTCATTGAGGTTTATATCAAGACCTATAAAAGTTTCTCATGTCATTCAAAATTCAATTAATATACAACA